AGTGCAGCACGTTGTGTTTCAGTAACGAGAGAGAGGATGCAGATAATTCAACCTTGTGGGCCTGCTGGTGGCTGTAAGTAGGTATTGGCGTTGAACTGCTTTTCAAATGCAGTAGTGCTTCGTATGCTAAACTGTGAAGCACATGGATACCTTACGCCATGTAAGTAGTGCCATTCGTTTCATGCCTAAATTCACTGCAGCAGTAGTGCTTTTGGAACAGCAGCCTGGATTTTCATCCAGTCAATTAGTGCCTTGCTAATAAGCGAGGTAATATGCATGATTGATGATATTGCTTGAAACGTATGGTTTGCCAAATATTAGGCAAAAGGCAGGACATTTCGTTACAAACCGTTCAAGAATGTTTGTTCTAAACGACATCATCCATCAACAACGTGAGACAGAGCTAAAATACAGTCTGAAAACATCTGACAAGCCTTAACAACGGCTAACAGCACCAATTCCTGTTCTACTTCTTCAACATGCTTGTTAACAGCCAGATCCACCTGCCGCCAGCCCAAACATCGTCTGACAGCCCCATCACTGTTAGAGAATCTGTTAGGCTAACATTCCCTAACAGGCACGCCTGTTAGCCGCTGTTAGACCCCCTATGAGTTGGTAGGGATCTTTGCAAAGCCAACCGCCCCTGGAACGCTCCCCCAGCCCATTATAACACACAGATCAAGGATGCCTGGGTACTAAAATACTTAAATACGTCTGATACGACGCGCGGAAATCCTCAACCCAGATGCAATCGCAAGGGTTGCCTTGGCCGGTGGAGACGTCGAATCGACCACCCCGGCCCACACGGCTGAAGAAACCACTCAGGCAGGACAGGTGGGACTTAACGGCGGCAGGCCCAACGGGGCCACCACTTCGGCCCTGATGCCGGGGCAGTGTAGCAAGCTACATTTACCTTAGAATATCTTTAAGCTATTAAAGCTTAATCACAGTAACGGTACGGTCCCGTATTTACGAACCATACTCGTTAACTGTACGAACTCACTTTCTGGTACGCTATCACAACCTAGCGTACGGCACCAAGACTCCAGGAATGGAGATGGCGGCAGGTGGGCCGCATTTAAGCCACCCAGGTGAAGTGCTTCGGCCAGACACTTAACGTATCACTATACTAGTGTTCAGGGTTCAAGACCTTGCTGTCACCGTTCTCGACGTATGTCTTCGAATCCCGACTTCCCTTGTCTCTTCTCACGCCTAACGCTGGGTCGCCAATCGTGGACGAGACCCTCTACTTCCGCTAAAACAGCTAAGGTAAGAGACGGCTGTTACATTTTGGTATCGACGATCATTTGTTCGGTCCTCGCCTCACATTGCGCCGCAGCAGTTACTCGCCCATTGTCTGAGTCTTAGACTCGACTTTCTGGAAATGGTTCCTAAGCCTATAGCTAAGACTAAGGCTGTTTCTTTGAGCGATGCTAAGCACGTTCCTATTCCGCGACCGAAGTCTAAGACTACGGCGCAAATTCCTGCCGATGCTACAACCGCTTCGGACCCACTTCGCGTTGCGAAAATTAAAAAGCGCAAATTAAGGAAACAATCCTTCGCTTCGCTTCGTAAATACCTTTCCTCTGTCCCTGTTGATAATGACATTCAGGACACGATGACGCCAACTGATAACGTGGCGACTGCCCTCGACACTACTGGCAATGATGCGGTTGACGCGACGACGGAAGTTCCCAAAGCCAAAGCGCCTGGCACTTTGCCAGCGCATTTGGTTGAAACTTTACGACAGTCAGTGCCGAACCGCGTCGGCGCCTTGGAGCGTTCCCTGGAAGGAACGCACCAAGAGATGGCAGAACTGCGTGACGACATTATATCGTTACGCAATTCTTCACAGCGTGTGGAGACGCAACTCCAGGAGTTACTCTCCAAGCTGTCAACGCCCTCAAGCCCACCACCTCCCAATCCACGGTCCGTGGCCATTTGCAAGATTATCAAGCAAGTGGCTGCGTCTTCCTTGGCTGGCATTTTGTCGAAAGAGAGTCTTCAGGTTACCGCTTTCCAGGCGGCCCTGGACTCCCTGACGATAGAGCCGGAGGTCACCCTGGAGGAGGTCCGGAAACTTTGGGACACCGGTGCGGTGGAGAGCGGCCCTGGCGGTAGCGCTACGGACTCCGACTCCGCGCGGCCTGCGCTACA